GCGGGCGCCTCCGCACAACCCCATACACACACACACAAGCACCCCCTCCGGGGGCTGGGGTGCGCGGCCGCGGAAGGAACGCGGAGGGACCGCGGCGGTGCGGGGCAGGAAGCGGAGCCCCGACGGGCCCTTTCCTCGCCCCGGGCCGGTGCGGCGGGAGGGCGAGGCCGGCGGATAATTTAGGTTAAAACTTAGGGAGCCGTGTCACGGGTGTATAAATAAATAATGAGGCGGGGACGGGCGCGAACGGCCCCTCTCTCTCCTGGAGGGCTGCGCCGAGATTGCCACATAAATCACGGCGGTCTAATTCAGTGGAAGTTTAATAAACGCCTCCTATTGGAAATGAATGTTCCCCATTTAACAGTTGTATCAGCACCATATAAAACCATGACCCCAATAAATTTAATTTTAGAGGCCGATCAATCCGGGCTTCTCTCTATCGATCCGCAGCGGCTCTGCGCCTTTGCAGCCTCTTCCCGGCCCTTCCCGGGGAGGCGGGGGAAGGGGAAGGAGCGTTTCGATTGGGCTCTTTATTAGGAAAAGATTGCTCCGAGAGGCCTGAAAATTAAACGGTGACATTTTAATTACCGGACATTGACAGAGGGAGCGGGCGGCGGCGCTCTGCGGGCCGGGCACCCCGCGGGCGGGCAGGGGATGAGGACCGGGACCCCCTCAGGGTTTCTGCCGTGAGACCCCCGGGGAGTCTGCGGGGTCCTCCCGGTGCCCCTTCCAAGTGCCCTGGTTGTGTGTGCCTCCCCCTACCCTATAGAGCCCCTCTGTGACCCCCCCCCGCCATCTATGCACCCACCAATCTATGCACCCCAGCTCCCACACCATGCATCCCCCCACCTATGCACTCCAGGTCTCCCACCATGCACTCCCCATCTACGCACCCCCCCACCTATACACACCCACTCCACCACCACGTGTTTCCCCCCCTTCTCTCACTCCATGATGCCCACCGTGGCCCCCGCCTCTATGCACCCTTTATTCCCACCACACCCTGGCTCTACCCAGTGTGCACCCCTTGATGTGCCTCAGCTCCCCCACTGTCTATCCCCCTCACCTGCTTGTTCCCTGACTCCCCCCCCCCCATGGCAGTGCTGCCCCTCACTTTGTGTCCCCCAGCTCTAAACCTGCCCCATTTCCCTGGGCCGGAGCGGCTGCGGAGGAACGCCACGAGCACGATCGATGGACATGATTTTATTGATCAGGTTCAACCAGCACCTTCGAGGAGCTGGAGCAGGATGAGCCCAGGGCAGCAATTAACTCATCCAGGCCAGGCTGTGCGGGGACAGCCGCGTACCGCGGCCATCAGCACGGAGCTGCTCCCGATGTGCTCTGCAGGGAAGTTCGTCCTCCTCCTGCCTGCAGGAGCCCCACACACCCATTTGCCGTTGAACATCCCCCGGCCTGACCGGCTCCCTATAAACCTTGAACTTCCCCTGCAGGACTGGAGCGGGAGCAGCCGCAGCGCGGTCCCGGCGGTGCAGCAGCGGCTGCAGGAGCCGGAGAGGCTCAATCTGTAAATCCTGTCCTCAGTGCACACTCGTAGTTTATGGGCAGACCCCTCGCTGAAGGTAAAGCAGCCCTGGGTCAGCGCAGCTCCTCGGCAGCCGCAGCGTTCCCACTGCGGCTTCCTGCTGGGAAAGGCACAGACTCCTGTGCTTCGCTCTTCTGAAAGCTCTACCTTCTTTCTATTCAATGGGACCATCGTTCTCTAACACAGATAGGGATTCCTAATCTTCTTCCCCGGTTGGGCATTCCCAGGGGGTGGGCAGCCCAGCAGGGGTACCCTGTGAGCAGGGGGCGCAGGGTGAGGGCAGCCAGTCCAGGGGACAGTGCCCCCATCCCTCCTGATTCCTGCCCTGCTGTGCCTGTGAGTGTTCCCTAGGTTGAAGGAACCCCAGGGAAGGCTGGAGATGGGTTATCCTAAAATACCTGCTATAGCTGGGAACCTCACCATCACACTATGGGCCCTGGTGATCTACCTGGAGAGCCCCTCCAGCCTGGGGACACCATGCGGCACTTGGGGTTTGGGAGGTGCCATCACCACAGGGGCAGGCTTAGGACATCAGTGGTGGCTGAAGTCACTCACAAAGAACCTGAAATGGCTGAACAGAGTCTCTGTGTGGAGAAGCTGGGGCCAAAGCTGGTTCTCCTGCTGGTGTCAAGGAGCTGGAGTCACCTGGGATGTGTTTAACTCATCCCCGTTGGCACATTGAGGGCTGCAAGGGAAAGTTCCCAGCAGCCCGGTGAGGGATGTGGGTCCTGGGGGTTGTTGTGGGGTCTCTGTGTCTATCTCTGTGGCTGCACATCCTAACGGGGGAGGGAGGAAGAGCCTCTGCACAAAGCTGCTTTGTCCCCACCAGCCTCGGGGGCCTCCTGCTCCAAGCCCTCGTGAAGGTGAAGGATTTGCTGCTCCATTTGCTGCCTAAAGGCTGAAGGTGCTTCCGAGTGCCCTGGCCCCTGCCACTGATGACTTCTGTGATGAGGAGCCTCCCCAGAGCAGAGCCTCAGCTTGGGGAATGTCACCTCTTGCAGCCCCTTGACCTGCCTCTTCCCTCCTCTTCCTCACCAGGCAAGGCTCAGGCTCCCTGGGGGGGTCCTGGGTGCAGCTCCTGTCACCACACAGCAGTTCCTGCTCTGGGCTCCCCTTCGCTCTCCATCAGCACATTTTGCTTCCTGCAGGAATAGGGATATTTTTATTCCCAGCAAAGACCTAAATTCCCAGGGTTTGCCTCAGATGCTGCCCACATGCTCTCTGCATTACAGGCGCAGGGGGTGCCTGTGTGGTCCATCCCTTTTCCATTGATGCCTCCAGGTTAACTTTCCCTGCAGGACCACAGAGCTCCACGAGGCAGATTCAATCCTCAATCATACCCTTTGCCTATGCTCTTGCTATCAAAGGGATCAAATGAAACTCCTACGAGCTGCTTCTATAGTGCTGTTACTAACACCAGCATATTGCTGGCTGTTGCCAGCCCTGTGTGACAGACCAGGGAGAGGGACAGGTCAGAGACCCCTTGCAGCCCTCAAAGCCTCAGCCCACTGCAATTCCCCTTTCCTGGTTTCTCTGCAGATGTATGTGCATGGAGAGCCACACACAGAGCTTCTCAGGCTGTCATTGGGAAAACAAAGACTGACACTTGCCATTGGGAAGCTGACAGCAGGATGCACGTGGCCACGGGATACAAACCCCAACATACTCTCTAATTCTATGCTGCATTTAAGGGCAAACAACCATGGGCTCATCTCACAGGATGAGCTTTGCCTGGCAAGGATCACAGGCAGGGAAAAGCAGAAAAGATGGGAAGTTTTGGCACAGATGGGACATACCCAGTGTTTTACAAAGAGCCTGAGCTCCCATAGGAGACTGGGTCTATTGGTACCACCATGACCGAGGGTACAGGGAGATGAGACAGAGGTGAGACCAGTGTGGGGCTGCTGGTGGGGTCCTTAAATGAGCTGTTGGGGTTAGTAGGGGAACTGGAGGGGTCACTCGGTGCATCTATAACACCCACTGGTGAATTGATGTTTGCTATGCAACCCCCCCGTGCCATGCTCTGCGCAGGCCTCAGCTCTGGAGTATAACACTGCTGCATCTTCTACATCCCTTTTCAGCCAAGGGATGCCCTGATTCGAAGTCCAGGAAGTTGTAGCAGGAAGGAGGAGATGTAACAGAGGCCCCAGACCTCCCTGTGATTGCTGGATTGATCAGGCACGCTGATGAAGACAGGGAGGTTAATACGTATTCTGGTGAATTACAACACTGTCAGCCTGTTAGCCGGGAGATGTCTCACATTCCCATCCGCTGGCATCCGCATGGATTTTCATGGTGATGTCTTCCCCTCCCGACCTCCTGCCAGGGAAAGTGAGAGGAAAAGCCTTGGGTTTACTGACTTTTAAACTCAATTCAAGAGGGAGACTTTTTATCCCGAGAAAGCTGCTGCGAACTGTTAGAGACAAATGGAGGAGCTGCCTCTGGTCTGGTGGCTCACAGGGAAGGGATTTGTCTCACTTTAGCAGAAGGACCTGGAGGTATGGGGGCCACTGGCTCATTCATCGTGCTGTGATCTGCCAGGGGGGTTGTGACATCAGAGCAATTAAGACAAACTTTGGTCTATAAGTTCATGCCTGCAACCTCTATACTTCGAAAGAAGACAAACGATCCCTCCAAGGAAGGAAACAAAGCCTTTTCCGAGCTGCCTCCGCAGTAACATTTAGGACCTGCAGTGGTTCAGGAGGAGTTTTTCACCAAACTGGTTTTTAAGCTGCTGGTATGTAATAAACTACCTGAGCTTTGGGGTTTCTTTAGCAAAAGTTTATTTCTAATGCAAAGACAAGCAAACACAAGCCCCAGCCTCCTGCTCCACCCAAGGCCCACTCCCCAGACTTGCCTTTCATCGTCCTCCTCTCTTCTTTGTCATAAGCATCTTAACACAAGGACTGATGAACTCTGTGTCAGCCTGCTGTGGGAACGGGCTCAGAAAGTGCAGGAGTGAGAAACACACAGCACAGACTTTGCAACTGGTCTTTCCTCTACAGGCACCTTTGCTCGACCCAGCTGCACCCATCATGCAACATCTCTGATGGAGGAAAACAAGGGATCAAGGCAGAGCTGAGAAAGGCAAGATGCTCCCAAGCAAGCCATGGACTGCTGTGACAGGAAGTAAACCCCTGCAGCCTTCTCTGGCCACAAGCTCAGGGGATGCTGCATGAGGCTGTGCTGTGGCACCCAGCTTCCTAAGGGGAGGGACCACTGGGCATCTGAGAGGACGATGCTGACCTACCTAACCAGCTTTTACTCTGGAAGGGCAATCCCTCACCTCCCTGCAGGATGGGCAAGTGCAGATACTTCTATTTGTGTTTGCTTTTGTTTTACATTTAAACCCAGTATTTAGTGATGTCTGCTCTCAAAAGACAGCCAACAACTCCTTATGGAAATCCTCTCAACACTCATTCATAAAAAGACTTAAGAGTTAAAAAATACTCTGGAGCCAGGAAATATACAATACATTCAATAACAAAAAAAATATAGATATAAAATACTTGCTTTAAGGCTGTGTACAGTTTAACTGAAGATAATTTGAGGACATGAAATTGCTCAGCAACAAAAGAAATGCGGGAAGAGAATTCCTTAATGTGGTGGTGAGGGAAAGGCAGCAACAAATATCCTGAAAGATCTTGTTGATGCTTCTAGAACATGTGTTTAGTGAGACATGATCCAGAGTGTGAGTCCAAAGCGTGGGGCTGGTGCTGCTGGTCTGGGATGAGCTGATGTCACTGTGGTCCCTGGGTCGATCGCCGCTCCTCAAGCATCCTGCACACCCACATGGACACGACTTCTGCATTCCCATCGTTGTACTGCACGATGAATGGGTGGCCCTGGAAAGCGGGATAGGCAGAGTTAGCCAAGATAAGCACAACCCTTCCTGTGAAAACACATATAGATTGGGATTTAACTGTGGGGAAAAAATACACTGGGACATAGAATGATAGTGGAATAGAATCATTACTGGAGTAGTCGGTCCTTTATCAGTGGAAACCTTACGCCTTACCCTGTGTACAGGAATCCCTTAAATGGATGGCTCTACAAATCACCTAGGAAAAAAGCAATATCCCTGCCAGGTGTTAAATTCCTTTTGTTGCTTGGCCATGGAGCTCTGCGCCTGCACATGCAGCAGGACCCAGTGCCAGGCTCTGCAGCACTCATGGTGTCTGTAAGGGGAGGGATTTGTTCATGCATATACATGCTTGTACATGTCATCTGGAGTGATCAGTTGGTATAGAAATGAAAATACAACTGAAACAGGTCTTCCTGAGAAGGTATTGTGGAAAAAGGGATAACTATGAAATAGTCTTGCCCATGAATCATAGGGCTACTGCAGGCACTGGAAAACCGTGTCTCAGACACCCCGCAAAATCAGAACAGCATCTCGGGATGAAACAAACCCATGGCCTGCCATTTCAGCAGCCAGCTTAGGCAGCTCATGCCTCAATCTGGCCCCATTCCTAGAGATGGGAACATGCCATCTTCAGATGAATCTCAAATGAAGTATAAAAAAACCACAGGAAACCGAGCACCGCAATTACACAAATGACTGAAAGAAAGCAATCGCCAGGAGAAACCATCCCAGATGATGAAAACCTCCACTCCAAACCACTCAAAAGCAGCTCGGGTTTTGCAGCACTAAACTTCACAGCTCCTGCAAACAACGCCTGAAAGTAATCAGAGGGGGTTCCCTGGGGAGCCTTTGGGAAGGGTGACGTTCATGTGGGAATTAGGGGCACCAGGCACAGCACTGAACGACAGCATCTGCACAAGGGGAATGAGCATGGGTCTGACGCAGGGCACGGGAAGCCCGGTGGTCGTCCGGGTTAGGATGGCACCAAGCAATGAAGCAGCACTGGGCTCAATAGAGCACAATAAATCCTCACAGCATCAGCTCCAAGCAATAAAACACTCTACGGGCCAGGGCCAGCAAATGCAGGAGCCAGAGGAATAAAATATGCCATTATCTACAAGAGTTATGGAGGAAGCGCAAGGTGCTGCTGCTTCAACTCCTTAGGGTGGCTGGAAATCTCAGCTAGAACTTCTTAGGGAGAAGTTTGAGATGTGGAGGGTCCTCCTTCAGATCTTACTGGGATCAGCCCAGTTCCTTTCCCAGTTAACCACGTAGATAAAAGACAGAAGGAATGCTCTGGATCCTGGACCCCAGGATCAGCCAACCTTAGCTGTAGACAGCAACTTTAAATCTGTCAGAGGGCTCTGAATGTCCCAGACAGGCAGCTAAGTCATGGTTTGGAAAATGGTCCACCAAAGAAGAACAACATATCCAGAGGTACCAAAGTCCATTTGACAGCTCTGAAGACAGCAGCAGAGAGTTCAGTGCTACCAAGAGAAGATGCATGACTTTAAAATGATGCACTTAAGTTCACAGATGCTTGTGGCACTGAGCAAATGGACAATGTCTTTTTCCTTCCAACACCTGGCTACTAAAAAGTTTTGGTCTTGAATGCCTAACATTAAGAACACTACTAAAGACAGACAGCACTCTCTTTTTCATCTCCTGTTCCAGACAGCCCACGTTTGGGTTTCCCTGTTTTACTAAACAAATTCAATCTGAAATATTCCTGGTTCTTACCTATGGAAACAGCTCAGGAATAGGTACAATCAGGAACAGGGACTGGCGTTTATTCCCAAGCTGCCAGGCACTTTCCAGTGTGACCTTCACAAAGCTGCTTAATCTCCCTCAGCCTCATGGTTAAAAAGGGAATAAATGACTCTGCTCTCTCAGAGGAGTGCTGTCAGGATCAGTACAAGCACGTTATGCCCAGCACTTTGGTATTTTTTTGGGTGCAAAAGGTGCCAGAATAAGGTGAATGCTTATTATATGCACGGTAGCCTAGAAATAGCTGTTTTGCCTCTTAAACATCACAACAGTCAAGGACAGCAGTGAGAACTAGGGAAAGACAAGCAAAAGCCCACAGACAAGGGAGAGCAGATGCATTGGGGCAATTAGAAAACAGCTATTAAAGCCAGTCCGCTTCTGCCATGAATCTCCTTTACGATGGAGAGACTCCCTGCAGAGGAAGACATATCACACCCACTATATCCTCGTGTTTAAGCCACTTACAACATGCAAAGGGAAACTGCAGGCTATGCAAGGTTGAAAACATCAGCTAGCCATGCTGCTCCCCCTGTTTGCTTTGTTTTGTGAGGTTATTCCATGGAAGCCTGGGATTTTACACACTCACTTTTCTCCCCAGGAATAAGTTTAACTTGAAACTACTCTTTAGGCTTCCCCTGATTTCAGGCTACACCGCTCTAGTGAGGATTTTCTCAGGCTGAAGGGATGCTTTGACTAGATTGCCTTCAAAGTCTCCAGCCACTGCGGCTGCACCAGCAGCAGTCTCCTCTTCATAAGGGCACCCCAATGGGTTCTCTGCATTTCGTCACTCTTCAGCACCTGGTTCCCCATTTCCCCCTTTTTAGGCATCCAGAGTACTGCAACCATTAACTCCCACAGTCCAAAACACACACATCTCAGAAACCAGTGCCTTAAACTAGAGGTATCTTTGGAAGGAAGTATGGAAGGAAGGGGCAGGAAGATTCAATTGGAAGGGAAGGAAGAAACAAGGGTTCTTAAAGCCAGCTGAACAGGTAAAAAAATCAAAGCTTCTAAGGGAGAAATGCAGCTGCAGCTCTCCAGGTCTAGTGCATGCCCATGCTATGGGATGGGGCTGGATGAACTGTCACTTCAAGAAAGGAAAAAAATGAGAGTCACAACAGCATGGACATGATTCATAAATTCTGGTCCCCGAGTGCCTCAGCCACAAGAGAAGTCCCAGCCCTGACTTCAGCAGTGAGCAATACATTCTAAACCAAACACGAGCAACCTGCTGTACTTACAATATTCCTGCACAGATTTATTTGGCGTTGCAAGGTAACACTGAATAAAGTTAAGCGTGTGGAAGCTTGAAATGCATTCTCTGTTGCAGCAGCCCATTTCTCACTGCCCTGGTGAGATCCCAATCTGCTGGTGTGGTGGGCACAGAGCAGTCCTGCACTCACATCCCCCTGGGCAGCAGCAGAGTTGGGGTGCTGAGCTGTACCCATGCTACTGTCAGCAGGGACCACTGGCACTTATAGAATCACAGAATCCCAGACTGGTTTGGGTTGGAAGGGACCTTAAAGTTCATCCAGTTCCAACTCCCTGCCATGGGCAGGGACACCTTCCACTAGAGCAGGGACACTTTCCTCTACACCAGGCTGCTTCAAGCCCCATCCAGCCTGGCCTTGAACACTGCCAGGGATGGGGCATCTGTCCCCTGTGAACTGGCAAATAAAAGATGGATGTTAAACCTTCCTTAGTAAAATCACTGCAATGGAGACTTCGTGCCCTACCAGCGACGCTTCAGCCAACACCTGAGTCTCAGGAACATGTAAGAGCTCATTACAACACTGACAGGCATGACCATGGAGGGATGCACAACACCAAGGAAAGAGATGCTCATGAGAGGAGACCAAAGGTATTGTGGGATGCTCCCATGACAACCTGATCCCATCCCCAGGAGTTTCATATTGGCTCACCCTCTACACACGTTCATTACAAAGCAGTTACCACCTCCTCACCAATTCCTAAATATTCATCCTTAAAAACACCCGGCAGTAAGCAACCCAACATACCCAAGCGGCAGAAAATAGGCTGAAAAGCCACCACCAAACTGCTTCCTCAGGTTCTGGGCTGCCTTACCCAGGCTGGGGTTGGGCTCAGCAGGATGCACAGCTCCACAGCGATTTCTACATCCGATGGGAAGCGTCCACCAGCGAGTGCACAGCACCTTGGAGCTGAAAAGGTCAAGCAGGACGGGGCCAGGGCTAGCCCCAGAGTGAGTGTCAGCCAGCCTAATTTTGTGTGTCAACCCTGAAAATTAGATAAACAATGACAAACCAGGCTTTTTAAATGAACCTGTCTCATCTCGTTCTCTTGATAAAGGGTACATTTCTCCCGTCGTGGTGTCCCACCAGACAGGTTAACTCTTTCAGAGGGGAGCACCTCGCAGAGGGTGATGTAAATCATTTAAATATCTGACATGAAATTAAAAGGGCAGGGCCCCCCTGAACACACAGCCCTGGCAATTCAAACTCCTGGCTCACAAGCCATCAATCATTTAGCCCAGTCAATTAAATTGCCATTATTCAAGGGTAAAAGTTCCATAATTTTACCTACCCTTAAAATTCAGCAATTTGCTTTCATGGCCTTCACCCACTGGCCTGAAAAATCTTCATTTCTGATAACAACACACCCAGAGCTTATTGCAACAGACTTTACATTGCATCCGTGGCAGGACACAGACCCACGGGCCTTTTCCAGCACCACGTGCCCACTTGCAGCTCTGCTCTGGGTTTGCTCACTGGCATTGCTGGTAGGAGCAAGGCTCAACTGTCCAGGGGAGACCAAAGTGCCCCTGGGACCCAGCCCTACAAGGCAGTGAGAGCGAGTCCATCAAACCTGCCCTTGGCTTTCTTACAGCTGAATCACAGGATGGTTCTCTGGGCACTCTGTGCCAGGCCCTCAGCATCCTCACAGGGAAGAACTTCTGTCTAAGAGCTCATCCCAATCTCCCCTCTGCCAGTTAATGACTACATGACACCCAAACATAACCACAACACCCAGCAGATCAGAAATGACAACAAAAGGCCTCATGCTTACAGAAGGTATGTTAGGAAACAGGCAGCATTGCTGCTGATTGCAACAGTGCCATACTTTTAATGTTCCCTTTTACAGGAATCCTCCCAGACTGTGCAGTTAAAGGCCTGTGCTCCATTTATTACAAAGAGGCACAGACAAACTGTGCATTTCATTTAAAAATTTGAATTC